CAACATAGCAACAACCTCACACAACATAGCAACAACATTCACACAACATAGCAACAACCTTTACAAAACATAGCAACAACCTTCACACAACATAGCAACAACCTTCACACAACATAGCAACAACATTCACACAACATAGCAACAACCTTCACACATAGCAACAACCTTCACACAACATAGCAACAACAACCTTCACACAACATAGCAACAACCTTCACACAACAGAAACAACCTTCACACAACATAGCAACAACCTCCACACAACATAGCAACAACATTCACACAATATAGCAACAACGACTTTCACAACATACGACATTCACACAACATAGCAACAACCTTCACACAACATAGCAACAACAACCTTCACACAACATAGCAACAATAACCTTCACACAACATAGCAACAATAACCTTCACACAACATAGCAACAACCTTCACACAACATAGCAACAACAACCTTCACACAACATAGCAACGACAAACATTCACACAACATAGCAACAACATTCACACAACATAGCAACAACAACCTTCACAACATAGCAACAACCTTCACACAACATAGCAACAACAACCTTCACACAACATAGCAACGACAAACTTCACACAACATAGCAACAACATTCACACAACATAGCAACAACAACCTTCACAACATAGCAACAACAAGCTTCACAACATAGCAACAATAAGCTTCACACAACATAGCAACAACAATCTTCACACAACATAGCAACAACCTTCACACAACATAGCAACAGCATTCACACAACATAGCAACAACATTCACACAACATAGCAACAAACCTTCACACAACATAGCAACAACCTTCACACAACATAGCAACAACAACCTTCACACAAAATAGAAACAACCATCACACACACAACATAGCAACAACCTTCACACAACATAGCAACAACCCTCACAACATAGCAACAACTTTCACACAACATAGCAACAACAACCTTCACACAACATAGCAACAACCTTTACACATCATAGCAACAACCTTCACACAACATAGCAACAACATTCACACAACATAGCAACAACCTTCGCACAACATAGCAACAACCTTCACACAACATAGCAACAACCTTCACACAACATAGCAACAACCTTCACACAACATAGAAACAACCTTCACACAACATAGCAACAACCTTCACACAACATAGCAACATTCACACAACATAGCAACAACATTCACACAACATAGCAACAACATTCACACAACATAGCAACAACCTTCACACAACATAGCAACAGCCTTCACACAACATAGCAACAACAACCTTCACACAACATAGAAACAGCCATCACACACACAACATAGCAACAACCTTCACACAACATACCAACAACAACCCTCACAACATAGCAACAACTTTCACACAACATAGCAACAACAACCTTCACACAACATAGCAAACAACCTTCACACATCATAGCAACAACCTTCACACAACATAGCAACAACATTCACACAACATAGCAACAACCTTCGCACAACATAGCAACAACCTTCACACAACATAGCAACAACCTTCACACAACATAGCAACAACCTTCACACAACATAGCAACAACATTCACACAACATAGCAACAACCTTCACACAACATAGCAACAACATTCACACAACATAGCAACGAGAAGCTTCACACAACATAGCAACAACCTTCACACAACATAGCAACATTCACACAACATAGCAACAACCTTCACACAACATAACAACGACAAGCTTCACACAACATAACCTTCACACAACATAGCAACAACAATCTTCACACAACATAGCAACGACAAGCTTCACACAACATAGAAACAACATTCTTCACACAACATAGCAACGACAAGCTTCACACAACATAGCAACAACATTCACACAACAAAGCAACAACCTTCACACAACATAGCAACAACCTTCACACAACATAGCAACGACAAGCTTCACACAACATAGCAACAACCTTCACACAACATATCAACAACATTCACACAACACAGCAACAACATAGCAACAACATTCACACAACATAGCAACAACAATCTTCACACAACATAGCAACAACAACCTTCACACAACATAGCAACAACCTTCACACAACATAGCAACAACAATCTTCACAAAACATAGCAACAACAACCTTCACACAACATAGCAACAACCTTCACACAATATAGCAACAACCTTCACACAACATAGCAATAACAATCTTCACACAACATAGCAACAACAACTTTCACATAACATAGCAACAACCTTCACACAACATAGCAACAACCTTCACACAACATAGCAACAACCTTCACACAACATAGCAACAACCTTCACACAACATAGCAACAAAAACCTTCACACAACATAGCAACAACCTTCACACAACATAGCAACAACAACCTTCACACAACATAGCAACAACAACCTTCACACAACATAGCAACAACAACCTTCACACAACATAGCAACAACCTTCACACAACATAGCAACAACCTTCACACAACATAGCGACAACCTTCACACAACATAGCAACAGCCTTCACACAACATAGCAACAACCTCACACAACATAGCAACAACCTTCACACAACATAGCAACAACATTCACACAACATAGCAACAACCTTCACACAACATAGCAACTTCACACAACATAGCAACAACCTTCACACAACATAGCAACAACAACCTTCACACAACATAGCAACAACCTCACACAACATAGCAACAACCTTCCCACAACATAGCAACAACCTTCACACAACATAGCACACACATTCACACAACATAGCAACAACCTTCACACAACATAGCAACAACCTTCACACAACATAGCAACATCCTTAACACAACATAGCAACAGCATTCACACAACATAGCAACAACCTTCACACAACATAGCAACAACCTTCACACATAGCAACAACCTTCACACAACATAGCTACAACCTTCACACAACATAGCAACAACAACCTTCACACAACATAGCAACAACAACCTTCACACAACATAGCACCAACAACCTTCACACAACATAGCAACAACAACCTTCACACAACATAGCAACAACAAACTTCACACAACATAGCAACACCTTCACACAACATAGCAACAGCCTTCACACAACATAGCAACAACCTTCACACAACATAGCAACAACCTTCACACAACATAGCAACAACATTCACACAACATAGCAACAACCTTCACACAACATAGCAACAACCTTCACACAACATAGCAACAACCTTCACACAACATAGCAACAACCTTCACAAAACATAGCAACAACATTCACACAACATAGCAACAACCTTCACACAACATAGCAACAACCTTCACACAACATAGCAACATCCTTAACACAACATAGCAACAGATTCACACAACATAGCAACAACCTTCACACAACATAGCAACAACCTTCACACATAGCAACAACCTTCACACAACATAGCTACAACCTTCACACAACATAGCAACAACAACCTTCACACAACATAGCAACAACAACCTTCACACAACATAGCACCAACAACCTTCACACAACATAGCAACAACAACCTTCACACAACATAGCAACAACAAACTTCACACAACATAGCAACAACCTCACACAACATAGCAACAGCCTTCACACAACATAGCAACAACCTTCACACAACATAGCAACAACCTTCACACAACATAGCAACAACATTCACACAACATAGCAACAACCTTCACACAACATAGCAACTTCACACAACATAGCAACAACAACCTTCACACAACATAGCAACAACAACCTTCACACAACATAGCAACAACAACCTTCACACAACATAGCAACAACCTTCACACAACATAGCAACAACCTTCACACAACATAGCAACAACCTTCACACAACATAGCAACAACATTCACACAACATAGCAACAACCTTCACACAACATAGCAACAACCTTCACACAACATAGCAACAACCTTAACACAACATAGCAACAGCATTCACACAACATAGCAACAACCTTCACACAACATAGCAACAACCTTCACACAACATAGCAACAACCTTCACACAACATAGCTACAACCTTCACACAACATAGCAACAACAACCTTCACACAACATAGCAACAACAACCTTCACACAACATAGCACCAACAACCTTCACACAACATAGCAACAACAACCTTCACACAACATAGCAACAACAAACTTCACACAACATAGCAACAACCTTCACACAACATAGCAACAGCCTTCACACAACATAGCAACAACCTTCACACAACATAGCAACAACATTCACACAACATAGCAACAACCTTCACACAACATAGCAACAACCTCCACACAACATAGCAACAACATTCACACAACATAGCAACAACAACCTTCACTCAACATAGCAATAACCACAGTCACAACTTTCACACAACGCTGACGTCACTGGTGCTTTAATGGTTCACAAATACTTCAGTGGTCCAGGAATACTTCAGTGGTCCAGGAATACTTCAGTGGTCCAGGAATACTTCAGTGGTCCAGGAAAACTTCAGTGATCCTGGAATACGTCAGTGGTCCAGGAATACTTCAGTAGTCCAGGAATACTTCAGCGGTCCGGGAATACTTCAGTGGTCCAGGAATACTTCAGTGGTCGAGAGGCTAGGTCTCAAAGTAATATCGACAGCAAGATAAGGAGAAGGAGAAGTATTACAAGATACGGGAGGAACAGAAGAAGAGGACAAGAAGAAATGAGGAAGGGGGCGGGGAAGGGTAGGAGGAAGAGGAGGAAGGAGAGGGGAAGGTCGCAGAGAAAGAAAAAAAAAGAGGAAGAGGAGGAGCTGAAGGGCGGAACTAAGACGGTTTGGTGGGACTACTAAAATGTCATGGAAAGGTGAGGTCGCGCTGGAGGAAGGGAGGGGGTAGGGTGGGGGAGGATGATGGATATTTATGTTGGGGGAGGGGTTAAATGACCGGGAGGCAAGAGGTGGGGGGAGGTCGGATGTATAAGAGGAGGAGTTGGAGAGGAGCAGATGCACACCCCCATCGGCTACCACCCCGTCAGCACCTCCCCCTCGCTCAGCCTTCAACCATGGCCCTCTGGACCAGCTTGGTACGAATATCCCTTCTGTCCCTCCTTCAGTGTACGTGAGTGACCACCCTACAGGTATTACCGCAGCCGCTGCAGCTGCTACTGCTGCGGCTGCTGCTCCCGTTGTCGCTGGTTCTGTTTTTGCTTTTGGTGATGCAGGTTCCTGGCTAGTGAAACACAGCAAAATCCCAACTATACAGAAAACACGAGTGCTAATAATTACCATCAGCCTGACTGATCATAGACCCGGACCTCGAGGATCGAACTTCTGCCATTCCTGGCACTGAATGACCTACAACACAGTTCATATCTTACTCAGAACACCTGTTTCAGATGTTTAAATTTGTTGCACAAGTGTTGTTTGCAAAATCGAGGTTGTGTGTCGAGATTCACTAAGATAGTGAGATACACATACATCCACCCACACCTAACAACAGTTACCTGGGTGTTAGTCTTCTTACACCTGCTGTCCCTCTTTACCTACCAGTAAATAGATACCTGGGTGTTAGTCTCCTTATACCCGTTCCTTCTGTTCACATAGCAGTAAATAAGTACAGCACCCATATGCTAGTCGACTGTTTTGAGTCACGTCTTGAGGCGACGGCCAAATAATAATAAGGATAATGAAGAGGGTATACCACCACGCGCAATGTCCTACTCTTGTAACTACAGATGCTTAATAGTTAATGACACACTCACAAGATGTTTCATGCTGTGGTCGAAGACTGCAGCTAACAACAAGCATTCAGCCTAAACATGTACCTCACAGTTCCCATACCCTGTCCTGTACACTCCATTACTACGATACAACACTATAAACAGGCACACGATACCATCAGCATTTGGTATCTTAATGCATGACAAAATCCACAACAGTACCAGCACAACCATCACAACACCAGCTATCGAAATGACACACCAACCATCATGACACTGCCCTTATTTCACACTTTCCGTTTATCTAGTATAAGATCTGTTTATACAGTCTAAGACCTGTTTATTTAGTTTAAGACCTTCCCTTATCTAGACTAAAACATTTAATTTAATCCAAACTGGATTAAGAAGACAGGCTGCAAAACATGTCTTTATAACATACAGTACATAAGTTGTTTAATAAACGTGTCATCACATAATTCATAGCTCAGACATCTCTGCATCCGTCAATCACAACATTCTCAGGAACAGTTATCATTATACATTCCATAAAAATTTAGTAATTTTAGAGTATTATTGAATATGTTGCAAAGGGAAGTTTACTGCTATACTGTCCACCGAGAGTAACTATGTCAGGAAAAGTACTTGCTTGTCGGCCTTATACTGAGAGTAGGTCATGGATATGTCCTGGTCCAGTCTTCAAACAGCTAAATAAGCCACTGGTCCCTCCTGATCTAATCTTTACAAAGCTAAGGAAGCCACTGATCAATACTGGTTCAATTTTTGTAAAGAATGTTTCGTTTTATGATATACATAATACCACACTGACAGTCAAGAAGAAATTGCAAACTTAAAGAATCCAGGGTACACTTGCATTCGCCTAAAGTTATGAGTGAAATTAGAGTAAAGATTTTAACTATGATAGGATGGCATATGATAGATGAGTAGTACACTTTACACTCACAAAATGGTATCTACGGCTTATTGTAACTGCTCAGCAACAAGCATAAAACTTTGAGAATGTGCGTATTTATGTAAAGAGTTGTAAGATCATTGTAACTGTATAACAAGATGGACTGAAATTAATGGTAATTCTCTTCTGCGAAAACTTTTAATTTTGAGTAAATCGTCCTTAATGCAGCTTTTTTCTTGCAGGTGCTGTTGTCTGCTTTAGCAGTTAGCGCACTGAGTTTGCCTCGGCCAGACGAAAGTGCCTACAAGATTCCTCAAGTGGGCACTGGAAGGCGTTCACAGTACTACGTTCTGCATGACGATGGAACGTACAAGTACGGCTACGACACTGGCGAGGGAGCCTTTGAGAGTACTCGGCTCAAGTCTGCTGGTAAACAAGACGGAGAGTTTGGCTACAGAGATCCTGAGGGAAATAGTATCCATCTCCAGTACGAAGCTGGCGAGGGCGGCTTTCGGCCCAGGGGTGCCCATCTACCAGCCTCACACCCTGACTTTGATGCTGCCCATGCTGCAGCCCGCGGTAGACCACCCTTCGTAGACCCTCTCGCCGATGCAAACACAGATGCTTCATATGGATTCCGGTTCTCTGAAGATGGACTTGCACGAACAGAACAAAGTGACTCAGATGGCACTGTACGTGGATCTTACTCCTACGTGGATGAGGAGGGTCGAACACGATCCTACTCATACACAGCTGGGCGTGGAATTGGCTTTGTTGTTGAGGGCGACGATCTTCCACAGTCACCAGCAGCTCCTGGAGCCACTCCAGCTGCAACACGACTTTCGTCTTCAGCTGGACGACTCCCTTCACCCAGTTTACGCAGAGCAGGCGCCCCCTCTTCAGGAACTTCAAGCGTTTCTACACAAGCCTACGCTGGATCTACAAGCTTTAGTGCAGGAACCATCTCTGCTGGTGCAGGGGCTTCACGTACTCCCTCTAGATTTGCCCCTGTTCGTCCTGCATTCACGCCCGCATTAACTCAGTACAGCTCTCCAGCTGCACGACCCTCTCCCTCTACTTACCAACAGACTCGCCCATCACGACCCTCTCCCTCTACTTACCAACAGACTCGCCCATTCGAATCTGCCAACACTCACAGCCAATTGTCTCCTGATGGTAGTTACTCCTTCGCTTACGATACTTCTAGTCACTCACGAGCAGAATCTGGTGACAAAGCCAACAATGTGGCAGGAAAATTCGACTTCGTTGCTAAGGATGATGGACAAAGAAGGGCAATTAACTACCAAGCAGGATCCGCAACAGGATTTACCGCTGAAGGAGCTCATATTCCTGTAGGACCCCCAGTTCCTGGATCATCCACTGGACAGCCTACTGGTAGAATTGTTCCTGTACAAGAGGTTCCCTTCATAGACCCTCTGGCTGATTCCAAATCTGATGCATCCTACAACTTTGCCTTCGATTCCGAGCAGTATTCACGATCGGAGAGTGCTGATGCCGATGGCAATGTACAAGGCACCTATACGGTGGTGGACGATGACGGCACTCGCCGCACTTATCGATTCCGGGCCGGTGAAGGCATCGGCTTTGAAACTGAGGAAGTGTCTACTTCTCGCGGTTCTCGTCCATCTTCATCCTCTTTTGCTACAGCTACAACTGGTACAAGATCTTCAGCCTTGACTGCCCAAGATGCATCTGCTCGTGGTGTTCAGGTTTATTCTTCTCCATCAGCACGTCGACCAGCCTCCGTTCCATCCACATATTCTTCATCTTCAATCGGGACATTTTCAGCTTCGAGGTCCCCGCTGAGAAGTACCTTCACACCCACCTCTACACGTGAAGTGTTCCCAGGCTTCAAGCTGCGTCAGTATGATGCGTCTGACAATGCTGAGAAGTTTGGTTATGTATTAACTTTTGACAATTAGAGCAAACTTTGATGACGCCCATCATAATTTCGTTGTCCAGTTTTTAGAGGAAATTAAAAAAACCTCGCTCATTCATTTACACTTACAAAGGATACCAGTAAAACTATACTCACACAGCCGTGTTTTACCGGCCTCTATGCTCACAAAAGCTACGGTGATGGGAACATAGGCCTTCCTGCTACACTCAGGACAAGCATCGGCCGCCACAACACAAACACCAATACCAAGCATGGCTTATTTGATATGGCCAATTATACCATAACACTTCAAAGATAATAACATTCATATTTAGCTCTAGTGATTACTCCATAATAATAATAATTAATAAAGTTTTGAAGTTCATTTTAGTATAATTTGACCTTTCTCACATAAGCGATCAACAATGCACAGTGGTTGCTGTGTACACACACACACATACACACACACACACACACAGGCTGGACACGTGGTCCAGCAACTGGCTTCTTGAATTCAACCCTGCCAAGTGCAAAGTCATGAAGATCGGAGAAGGGCAAAGAAGACCGCAGACAGATTATAGACTAGGTGGCCAAGGACTGCAAACCTCGCTCAAGGAGAAAGATCTTGGGGTGACCATAACATCGAGCATGTCTCCGGAGGCACACATCAACCAAATAACTGCTGCAGCATACGGGCGCCTGGCAAACCCGAGAATAGCGTTCTGATACCTTAGTAAGGAATCGTTCAAGACACTGTACACTGTGTACATCAGGCCCATACTGGAGTATGCAGGTTCAATTTGGAACCCACACCTGATCAAACGCGTCAAAAAATTAGAGAAAGTGCAAAGGTTTGCAACAAGGCTAGTTCCGGAGCTCAGGGGGTATGTCCTACTAAGAAAAGTTGAGGGAAATCGGACTGACGACATTGGAGGACAGGCGGGTCAGGGGAGACATGATAACGACATACAAAATACTGCGTGGAATAGATAAGGTAGACAGAGACAGGTTGTTCCAGAGAGGGGACACAGAAACAAGGGGTCACAATTGGAAGCCGAAGACTCAGACGAGTCATAGGGATGTTAGAAAGTATTTCTTCAGTCATAGAGTTGTCAGGAAGTGGAATAGCCTAACAAGTGGTGTAGTGGAGGCAGGAACCATACATAGCTTTAAGACGAGGTATGACAAAGCTCTGGAAGCAGAGAGAGAGGACCTAGTAGCAATCAGTGAAGAGGCAGGGCCAGGAGCTGTGTTTCGACCCTGCAACCACAATTAGATGAGCAATTAGGTGAGTACACACACACACACACGTTTTCAGCTTTATCAGGAATATTAACAGTACTGCAGACTGACAAAGAAACTAAATGCTATTAATGAGCCTAGAAACTGCTATTCTACCTCAGCTCATTTTAAAGCCCGGTCTCATCTATGAGATGCTACCGCCTCTTAAGAAACTACCCACAAGAATCGGCTAATGTCTATATACAGCAAGTCCTCACTTAACGTCGTCGATAGGTTCTTGAAAACTGGGACTTTAAGCGAAACGACGTATAACGAAACCAATTTTACCATAGGCTAATTGGTTTGTTTCTAATACCACACATTTTGTTTTTTGTGGCCACAGACATCAGGGTTGCATAGTGCACCAGTAGCACTCATTGCAACAGGGTTAAATGAAGGAATAAATGTTTGCAAAGCGAAAATTGTAAGGAGCACCTCCTACCACCACACAGTTCAAAACTGAACATGCAAATTCCACGCAGACAGTAACCCCGGCCGGGAATAAAAAAAATTCTCATCAATGTTATAACGAAACGTTGAGTGAAGACTTACTATACCGTTTTACTGCTAGCTAAAACCCAAAATGTTGCACATGTGTCTTATTCATCAACTTGTTGGTGATGTATACCATAATTTTAATGATGTGAGTAGTAAGTGTAAGATTTGTCCATACATCTCAAACTTAAGGTATCCCTGACCACCTGTTGACAAGGTTTTCAACAAGCAACACTGATGATGCAGAACAGACCCTAAGGTCGAAGGCAAGAAGAAGAATGTGTCTTTTGTTGAGTTACATTAAGAACCTCTCAAATCTCCAATATATGAAATCATTTAGTAAAAAGGTGTTAAAGAATAATACTGTGCAGGGTGTCTTGTAAGTTTGGAGCAAATTGTTATAACTATTACCATAATTTTTAAAGGACCGGTAAGCCAGCGGAAGGCCTCGGTCCGATGACCAAAAGCTCCAGCTGTGGGTCATATGACTAAGACCCGCATCAAGAAACACTTGGCCTGTTTCCTGACAACCCTTACCAAACCAACTTGTAAGTCTGGAACTATACTGTCATTATATAGGGCGTTAAGGGTGTAAAGAGTGGCCGGTGAAGTGGCTGATCTTACTCCGATGGATTTTTATCACTGGGGTGAGGTCACATGAAGGCATTTGACTAGGTGCAGAAAATCCAATGCGTTCCGTGTTTGAGGACGTGCATCACTAAGTGCTTTTTGGCTGGATATCTCGTCTGCATTTTTGTATGACTAATAATGGTCGAAGCATTGAATACCTTCTGGGAATAAAAATCTTTATTACTGCCGTTTTTCTTATTTCCCCTCTGATTCCAGATTTACGAGGCACATATATATACTGTGAAGCAACCGTTTATTAATATGTATCCTAAACGGTATATACGTTTTGTTTATTGCATGCTATGCAAGGTATATCCTAATATTTGAACATTAAAAGATTTGAAGGTAAGACTAAAGTAACAGATATTGAGTGCTCTTTTTTACATTTATAATTAACACAACACCAGTGGTCTGGCAGACTGTTTCTAAGCCAATATTAAGAAATGATTATCTTCGACATAATACTTTAAAACCGTTTTTTAATACATAGGTACACATCTGGGTGATCATGGCTCAGTTGGTAGCGTTTTCAGCTCACACGCTAAGAGACAGCGGATCGCTTCTCGACACGAGTGAAACATTGGGCATGTGTCCTTACACATAATGTCCATGTTCACTTAGCTGTACGTAGGTACCTGGGTGTTAGTCAACTGCTGTGGGTCACTTCCTGTTGGAGAGGATTAAAAGACCACAATGGAAATAAGAGAGAGAGTCCTCAATGATGCACTAACCTTACCAAGTAATTATGGGTGGCTAACCCTCCTTTTCCCTCGGGTTAAAAATCCCAACAAAACCTTATCTGATGCATCCCAACCTGCCATTAATGTGTTGATGTCTATCAAATGAAGAATTTTATCGTTGGCCTCATGACGTAACAACGTACACACTACATTATCCTAGACAGTATAGTGATACTATAATATCCTCGATAATGTAGTATACAGTGTCACAATCCTAATGAAATTGCTCTAAACTATTAATTTTCCTTTCCCTCTTCTCCCCTTCCGCTTCTTCTCTTCCCTCTTCTCTCCTTACTTAGTGTTGCAGTGGAAGTTAGCAAGAGCGTGTGCTTACTAAATTTGTTTCATAACAGAAGTGGAAGATGACACATTCTTTTCACAGTGTAACTGAAAGTGTTGTCTGCAACACATGCTTGCTATCACGTTTCGAGTGTGGTGAGGTTCTTAATCCAAGAAAATGGAGCCACATTCCCCTAACCTGAAACAAACCTTATTACCTCCCATTCCACAGGCAATGTATGACCCTTACGGCTCTGGTGCTTTCCCATAAAACACCGACAAAATTCATCTGATAGACACCAACACACATTAATGGTAGGCTGGGATGCATTAGATAAGATTGTGTTGGGATTTTTAATCCGAGGGGGAGGAGTTAGCCACCCTGGATAACTCAATCAAGTCGGTGCGTCACCGAGGATTATTTCCATTTTGGTCCTTTAATCTTCTCCACCACGATGCAACCCACAGCAATCAACTAATATCCTCTACGTACGTACTGCTAGGGTAGCTACGTGAACAGTGACAGCAGGTATAAGGAAACATGATCAATGTTTAACTCGTGTTGAGAAGGGATCCGCTGTCCCTTAGCTTGTGAGCTGAGAACATAACCGAGCACAAACGCCCAGATGTATACCTACTTTGTATGAAAAAACGATTTCAAAGTATTGTGTTAAAAATAACAATTTATTGATATTAGCTTAGAAACAGTCAGCCAGACCATTAGTGTTGTGTTAATTATAAATGTAAAAAAACACTGAATATCTTACTTTAGTCTTACCCCTAATTCTTTTAATGATCAAACATTAGGATATACCTTGCATAGCATGCAATAAACAAAACATATAGACCGTTTAGGATACATATTAATAAACGGTTACTTCACAATATGTCTCGTAAATCTGAAATCATAAGGAAAATAAGAAAAATGGAGATAATCAAGATTTTTATTACTAGAAAGTTTCAACGTGCCTACCATCATTAGTTATACAAGAATGTAGACGAGGATATCTAGGCAAACAGCATTCGGTGAAAGGTATTGGGAGTGATGGTGTTACATGCATCAATGATGCATTCCCGCAAACGTGTAACGCACTAAATTTTCTGCGCCAAGTCCAACGACTTTATGTGACCCCAAAGATAAAAATCCATAGGAGTAAGATAAGCCACCCCGCCAGCCACTCCTTACACCCTCAGCGCCCTATACAATGAGAGTATAATTCCAGACTTACAAGACACCCTGCACAGTATTATTCTTAAACATCTTTATACTAAAGGGTTTCATATATTGGAGATTTGAGAGGTTCTCAGTGTAACTCAACAAAAGGGCATTCTTCTGCGTGCCTTCGTTCTTATGGTCTGTACTGCATTATCAATTTTGCCTTGTTGAAAATCTTGTCAACATGTGTTTGAGATACCTTCAGCTCGAGACGTACGACATATATCTCACATCTGTTACCTATATAATTAAAATAATGATATGGGTAGTGTATTATTTATCAGCAAGTTGATAAATAACATTATTATTTATCAGTAAGTTGATAAATAACATTTCATTTTCTAAGAGAAGGTAGAATCCCACAGATGAGGCTTAACTTTAAAATGAGCCGAGGTAGAATAGCAGTTTTTAGCCTCAAAATTTAAGTGTTAGAAAAAGGAAGTCTTTAAAACCTTCATCACAAGACAACAAACATAAGACATCATTAAAATATCACAACTTGATATAAGCAGTGAGTATAACCTTCAATTTGGTTTACAAAATTACATACGGGTTGTTCACTGCAGATTCCAAAGAACTGTGACAAATCTTCGCGGAGGAAAATGTTGTCGAGCTCAAATCTACACTCAACAATAAATTGTTTTATGAAATATGCTGTTCATGAAAAAAACAAACAGATAGGAAGGTTATATTTATGATCTTCGAGAAATCTTTGATATCCCAAGGAACGTAATAATTAACGCA